ACACACACACACACACACACACACGCACACACACACACACACACACACACACACACACGCTCACGCACACGCCCGCTCAGTGACATCACTGTCGCGGAGCAAGACGTGGACGCTGTCACGCTAACTGCATCCAACGCTGTGGATGACAGGCGGGCAGCAGACGCAGCCCCCGAGGGCTGAGGGGCAACGATAGGGGGGGACTGGCATAGGGGGGGATGCGACCTGGAATCGGCGATACATCTCCGATAGATCGGCGATGGGCCTCCGATCGTGAATCCGCAGCTTCCTGGACAGCTTGGGGCTCTCGGGCCCCCATCGGCGATCAATGGGCGATTGGGGATCGATGCATCCGCCCCTGTGCCTATCCCCCCCTATCGCTGCCCCTAGAGGGCGCGCAGGAGGACCGCTTCGAGAGCCCCCGGCGGCCCCCGCGTGGGGAGGGGCGCTCAGCCCACGGCGGGGAGGCAGGCGCGCGTCCAGGCGGCAGCGAAGGGGCCGGCGGACAGGCAGTCGGCCGCAGTGCAGGTGGGCAACCCAGGCAAGCAGTGGGCGCCTGAAAAAATTGGCACCAGCACCAACACGGGGGGCTGCCTCCACAGGGCTAGGTTGTTCCCAGATGTTGGCGCTGGTGGTAATAACACTTCGACCGCCCTGGGAGCCCGAGTCTTACCACCGTCGCCGAGATCGGGGGCATCTTCCCTCGGTGAAGGCACACCGCCCATCTTGGTGTTGGTGTCAATCTCTAGGCCTCTGAAAGTGCACTGGGATCCCAGGGCTGGCCAGGAGGCAGAGAGAGGGCGTAGACGCGCGTCTTTGGTCCTCCGCCGGCCGAGGGACGCCACCACCGCGAAAGCGATGGCAAGAGGCGCAGGCGACCGCGAACGACACCATGCGCAGCAGGCGGGCGGCTGCGCTGGGCGAGCGGACGCGCAAGGAAGCGAGGCCCCAGCTTGGTAGGAGAGCCAGCAGGCCGGCGCACACAGGGCGCGCAGGGGTGCTTATGACTCGGGCCGGGGAGGCGGGCCAGAAGGCAGCAACACAAAACGTGCAGAGCACACACTGCATTCCTCCAGCGGCGAGGTGACAACACCGTCGCGACGCGCTGAACCGGGGGAGACGCTTCGGCGAACTGGCGCACGGCGTAGCAGATGGGTGGACTGGATGGGGGCAGTCGCGTGCAGAAGGAGGAGGTGTGCGCCAGGCGAGCGGCGGCGCAATATGATTCAACAGCACATGCAGGTCATGCAAGAAGGTAGGCACACTTTTTGGCGTCGCGGCCACGCGGGGGGCGGCACGGCGCAGAAGCGAGGAGACGCGCGCGGCGGGCCCAGGACGCGCGGCGTGGTGGTCCGGGATCCGCCCACAGGGGATCGACGGCATCACTCGCGGGGGTGCCGACGCGAGGGGGAAGGGCGGGGAGACGGGGAGACACGGGGAGAGACGAGGGCAGGGCCGGTGCACAGCACAACTGCGGAAGGGCGAGGCGCAGCGACGGGCCGCAGAGGCGGGCCGAGAGGGGAGAGGCGACAGGCAGCCGAGGCCCAGCCAGGAGCAGGAAGCAGGGGTGTGAAGCAACAGAGGCGTGCTGGAAGACACACGCACACACACACACACACACAACACACAACACACACACAACACACAACACACAACACACAACACACAACACACAACACACACAACACACAACACACAAAACACAACACACAACACACAACACACAACACACAACACACAACACACAACACACAACACACAACACACAACACACAACACACGCACGCACGCACGCACGCACGCACGCACGCGCACACACGCACACGCACACGCACACACACACACACACACACACACACACACACACACGCACGCACGCACGCACACGCACACGCACACGCACACGCACACGCACACGCACACGCACACGCACACGCACACGCACACACACGCACACGCGCACACACACACACACACACACACACACACACACACACGCACACACGGCTCTGCAAACCTCCGCGCTCAGGCGCCCCGCCGCGGCCCGCCACTCGACCGCCTCGAGCCGGGCCTCCGCGGCCTCGCGGGCCCCGCTCTGCGCCGCCAGCTCCGACCGCCGCGCCTCCGCCGCGTCCGCCTCGGCGAGGCAGGCGCGGGTCGTCGCGTCCGCCGCCATCTCCTCCGCCCCGCAGACTCGCCGCCACATGTGCAGCCGGGCCTCCTGCCGTTGCCGCTGGGGGGGGGGGCACGGTGAGGGCACCGGATAAGAAACCATTGGATAAGGAACAGGGCCTGGAAGCCGAAGAAGCTCCAGTCGCGGATGGACCACAACTACCTGTACGACCACCTTTCCGGTGACATGGAGGTTCGGGGGGGGAGTGGGAACCAACGTTTCACTCAATCGATCTCACGTCGATCGAACTCTCGCTCTCACAACAGATCTCACGATAGATCACCGATCTCTCGAATGATCTCACAACAATTCTCACGATCCATATCACAATCGATCTCACTATTGATTTGACAATCGAAGTCACGATCGATCTCACGATCGGTCTCACTATCGATCTCCCAATCGATCTCACCATACATCTGACAATCGAACTCACGATCGATCTCTCATTCGGACTCACTATCGATCTCACAACAAATCTCACTATCGATCTGACGATCGATGTCACAATCAATCTTACCATCGATCTCACTACCGGTCTCACAATCGATCTCACGATCGAGTTTGATATCGAACTCCGTATCTATCTCAATGACGAAGCCACTATAGATCTCACGAGCGATCCCACTATAGATTTCACGAGCGATCTCACTATCGATCTCACATCAGATCTCACGATCGATCTCACAAGAGACATAGCTATCGATCTCACGATCGGTCTCACTATCGATCTCACAATCGAGCTCACCATCGATCTCACACCAGATCTCACTACCGATCTCATGATCGACCTCACAACAGATCTCACTATCGATCTGACTATCGATCTCACCGCCGCGCCACCGACGGGACACCCCGTGCCACCGACGGGACACCGCCACACCACCGACGAGACACCGACGGGACAACGCCGCGCCACCGACGGGACACCCCTGGCCACCGCGCGCCGGGGGGAGGGCGGACAACGGGCTCCACAGCCCCTAGCCACGGCGGCATCATTCCTCTCACGCGCCCACGCACCCTCGCCTCGCCCGCGCGCACGACACGAACACGAAGCCGAAACCGACTTCCCGGTGGGGGGGGCTCTCCGTTCCACTGCCATCTCACCCCTCTCACCTTCGATCACCGCCGCCCTCAGCAGATGAGGAAGCCTCCCGGGCACATTCTGTGGGAACAAAAAAACAAACAAACAAAAAACAAACAAACAAAAAGTCTGTGGGGGGAACCAAACAAAAACACGGGAACAAAAACTGTGTTTTGTGTTTTGTGTTTGTTTTTGTGTTTGTTTTGTTTTTTGCGTTTTTTTCTCTCACGAACGCCCCCGCCGTCGCAAGGAGCCCAAATCTCCGACGGTCCGCGCTTGCTCCCTCCAGGTCTTGCCCCCTTACTTCGGCTCCCGGGGGGTCCGCCGTCGGGCCCCGGGGCTGGCAGACCAAAGAGGCCTGGGAGGAAGAGCTACCCTGGGAGGAAGATTCGGCAGCTCCCTGGAGCCGGAGATCGCCAAAAACACACACACACACGGAAGAAAAGAAGAAGTAAGAATACGAATGTATGATAATGAGAATGAGAAGGATAATGATAGCGGTAAGGACAATGATAAAGATAATGATGATACGAATGATTAGTAGCGATAAAAATAATGATAAACATAGTAATATTAATAAGAGCAATAGAATATACACAATGCGAATCACATTAAAGGTACTATGTATCCTACTACGAATAACAAAAATGAAGAATATAAATACGAATCATAATAATAACGATGACACGAATGATAAGAATACTGAAGAATGAAGAGGCAGAAGCAGAAGAAGATGTACCACAAAATGTGATCAATAGCAACACTTGGAAATAAAGAACAGCACTTGTAATACAAGAAGAGAAAATATATGTTGGCGAAGAAATAAGATGATAAGAATAAGAAGAATAATAGTAACAATGACGATATTTCATTCTATATATATATGTATTATGTATGCATGTTTCGGTTTTTTCTGGCGGATGTCAAGAGGGACGGGCCTCTGAAGCTTGGGAGCTGCGAGATCTTGACGCGCGGTATTCCCTTCCGCCCGCTCTCGGGCCGCGGGGGCGTCACGCACTGGTCCGGCTCGAGAGCTGCTGCAAGCAAATGGGCTCCAGGGCTCCGGGCTCCGATTGCGGTTTTCCACGACGGCAAATCTTGAAGGGGCCCTGGGACACACAAATAAATACACACAAATAAAAGGATTCCCCATATTTTCTAATATTTTCTGGCTTTTTGTCTTCCCCCCCACTTCGCATATCTTCCCATATTTTCTAGGGAATCGACGATTAACTGTGTCTGTGTGTTTTTTCCCCTCCTGAGGCAAATCTCAAGGGGCCAACGACTCGACCCGTAGCTGGTCTTGCCTGGCGCCGCCTGGCGCCAGAGGCGCCAGCGTCAGAGAGGGCGCGCCCAGCGGCGAGGCCGGAGCCAGCCGCGCTTTTCTCGAGGGCCGGGAGAGGCAACGAAAAGAAAGCGCCCGCTTCCTAACTCATGGGAAGGGGCCTCCACCGTGCAGGAAGTGGGAGGGCAGGAGGGGACGAAGGCAGCGAAGAAGGAAAGAAAGGAACAGCGAAGAAGAAGAAGAGATATGAAACTGCGCCCGCAGATCCTGTGGTCAAGCCCGGGGCGGGCGGCCGAAAGCTGATCACCACACAAATGCACCGCAACATTAACAACCCTGGCCGACGTGCCGACGAAGTGTCTGACGCGCGCGGGTTGGCCCCAGAAAGAGCTGCGATGCTCAGAGGTCTGCCGCATTGAAACAGATACTGATTAACTGGAACTACGGCTCAACATCGTCGCCGGCCCGTGCTGGACCGCAGGCCGTCCCAAGGAACAATCCCGATCGCCTCTGATCGCAACAGCGCGGCCTCCAGCCACCCATCCTCAGCAGGAGCACTTCCCCAACCCGCGGGGAAAGTGCGGCAGAGAATGCGGGACAACAACGATGGAGGAGGAGGAGGAGGAGGAGGAGGAGGAGGAGGAGGCGAAAGAGGCAGAGAAACGAACGAACGCACGAACTCTATGGTGCGTGTCTGAGTTTGCTGTCTAGTAGTGCACTAGGATCGACCTTTGCAACCGAAGACTTCTGGACGAGCCCGCCCCCCAAAAAAACATAGGGTTTCGGGAAGCCTGTCTACTGCCTGCGAGAACCACATGGTGATGCCGGCGCTCGAGCACTACTCCTAACCCAGCGCTCTAAGCTGACCCGGAAGCTCCGTGCTCAAGGCCCTCCTGAGACGGTTAAGGAGGCGAGGCTGCGGAGGCGGAGGTGGGCCTGGGCGTCTCGGCGCGGGGTTCTCACGCAGTGATGAGGTGGGAGCAGGGGTGGGGGGAGGACTACCCGCAAAGGCATTGACAGTGAGCGGGGGCGGGCCGGGAATCGCAATTACGGGGGTCAGCACGGGGTCCAATCCTACTCTTGGGGGAGTATGGGTGGGCTCGTGGTCCGTGGCTTCCGCCCCCTCCACGCGAGACTCGCAAGAAGTCTTTCCCGACTGACAATTCGGACAAGCGGCAGCTTTCTCAGTAGACGCAGCACAGCAGCACAGCGGCCTCCAGTCGCCGCTGTGGATCCGAGTGATCGCCCCCCTCTGCTTCCATGCACGGCCGAGGCGGTCCGAGCAAAATTGCTGAGCCCCGTCGGCACGATCGCCCTGGACCTCGAGCGCTGCGGGGGGCAGGAGCCCTCGGCAGTTCCCGACGCCGAAGGCCGCGCTGAGCCCGACGACAACGCAGCTGGCGCGGCCGTCGTCCCCAGCGGAACGGCTGGGCCCCGCTGGCTGGCGCGACATCGTCTTGGGCTTCACGCGCCGCCGGGGGCCAGAGCCCTTGGCAGCACCCGACAACGCAGGCCGCACTGAGGCCGGCGAGTCTTACTTCCGCCAGAGGCGGGAGCACGGATGTGCCTCGACAAATGGCGCCCTCAGACCTGGTCCTTGGAGGTCTTCGCTTGACTTCGCCTCCTCCTCCTCCGCGAGTTCGATTGACTTCGCCTCCTCCTCTTCGCTTGGTCTTCGCTTGACTTCGCCTCCTCTGAGGCCGGCGACGCTGCAGCTGGCGACGGAATACGGTCTAGATCTCCTCGGAGGCCGCGAACTCCGCGTGCAGCAGCCTCTGCATCTGCGAGGTGGGTCTCGCCGCCCAGCTGCTCCAGGCACTCCGCGATCAGCTCCGATTCCGCCGCTTTTCCCATCGCCACCTGGGCGTGCGCATCCTCCCACGTCGACGCCACTTTCACGAACGGGAGCCTGATCTCGCACCCGTCCAGCGTAAGGTCCTTGATCTCCGCCTTCGGCTTGCTCAGGTTTACTCTGTTCGCCCGAACTACTCCCGCCGCGCCCGCCGCTGGGGCCGGCACCAGGGCCGGCGCGCGACCTACCCTGTCCGGGGGAGGGGGGGGCGCCCACACATCTGTTCAAACCATCCGGAGGCCCAGCGAGGAAGTGGAAGGAAAGGTCGGAGGGAGCGGCCGGGCCGCTCAAAGGATGCAGTAGCTCGTATCGAGGCCGGTGCAGCTCGCGCGCAACGAGAGTAGACTACGTCGAAAAAGCATTCCTGCGAGCAGTGATAGCGACGGCGGTGCCCCCGAGAGCTCGGGGGCGCGAATACCGAGGGCGCAGACCTTCTCAGGTGAGCGCGAGAACGTGCCCCGGGCGCCCGCTGGCATCTGCCCGTGACCTGCTGGGCGCTTCCGCGTCTGGGATGGCACTGTCGCGAGCTGGGCCGACCCGTTAGCCGCCAGCGCTCGTCAGCATGCCTCGGCTCTCGGCGTATATAACAGGAAACCGCGCACGAATTCTGCAGTCGGTGGCGGGGCCAGCACAGTCCCGGCGGAGGCCTGCCCGGCCGCGCGGCGTCCCTCTCGAACACCTCTTGCCGCTGCAGCCTCCCGCGCCGTGCAGAGGCCGAACTGCTGGATACCGTCCTTGCCAGTGGCGATCTCAGCCACAAGGATGCCCACGGCAAAAAAAAAAAAAAAAAAAAAAAAACGTTTGTTCCAAATTCCAGATCTCGTCGCTGCAGCCGCCGCCGGAGGCGCCGGAAAAAAACCTCCCAATCGCACGGGTCCCCGAAGTTGCCCGGCTCCTTGGACAGGCCGTCGTCCATCCCATACACGGTCCTCACGAGCGCGGATATTGGGAAGGACGAGGCAGGCGAGCTCGAGCACGTCGGAGGGGTCGGCGTGCGCCCCGAGCCTGGCAAAAAAAGGCCCCGAAGCCAAACAGCTGCACGACGTGCTGGAACGCAGTCCCCCGAAGGCGGCCAGCATTGCACTGGCACTGGTAGTGGTGCTGGTGCACAGTGTGCCCGCCCGGACGGCGGCCCGCCTCGGCCTGCCAGAAAAAAACGACGCGCACCACACCGACACGACATAGCCGCCAGTAGGGCGGAAGGGGAAGAGAGGAGGGAGAATATCACTGCGACACCATGAGATAGGAAAGGTGCTTTTTCGCTTGCCTCGCTCGACGAGGGGACCGCTCAGAGGTGCTGGAGCGTCCGTGCACACGCCTGAGCCTCGAGCATGAGAGGCTACGGAACAGAGAGCGGCACCATCCAGCCTCGGGAACCTGTCGTTTTTTCGTGTTTCTCATGAGCCCAACAAGGACGTTTAGGAAAACCAAGGACGTTTGAGGAGGGAGGAGCGAGGAACGAGGAAGGCAGGAGGGGGAACGGCGGAGGCAAAACAGGCGGACACCTCGTATCAAAACACAGGGACACCGAAAGAAACGTTATTGCCCCGGGTCCAGATGATGGGGCGGGGCGGAAGCGGTGCGAACCTCGACAAAGGACAACTGAAAGCACTCATCACCCAGACACACTTGCGCGACGATGCCTTGCTGCCCTCCCTCCTTGTAATACCTGGCGCACGTCATCCGTCCGTGTGGTACCTGGCACGCACCACAGCGGGAGGAGACTGCTCTGTACACAAGGGCCAGAATCCTCCCCTTCGAGTCCGTAAAATGAGGGGTGGATGGAACACTAAAAGCACGCACATCGAACAACGCGCACGCCACGTGGCCCAAAGGCACGCACGCACAGTGCGCACCGCGCCTTCCTCATGCGATCCCGCCGGAACGACGTCCCCGCCCATGCAGATCGCAGCAGGCCTGGTACCTCCTCGGTTGCATCACGTGCCAACAAGGGACAAGACCCCCGACCCAAACAGGCCTGGTGCGAGACTGGACCCCGGCACAACGGCCCAATGGCGGAGGCGGCGCTGGCAACCGAGCGAGAGCTCTGGTACTCACGGCTCGCAGTACGGCGACTGACCCAGCCAGAGCACTCCTCCACCCCGAGAAAAAAAAACCCAAGCAAATGTGCCCAACAGCTCGTGTATCGCTGGCGTCCCTGGTACCCCGACCCCAGATTTGCAAGGTCGACAGACACCTTAGGACCCGCAAAAACACACCCCGACAGAAACCAGGCCCCCAAAACGCTCCGCTGGGGTGCGGTGGTCCGGCGCCCCCAGCGCAAACGACTCGTGTGAGACAAGGGGAGGGAGACGTCCGGAGACGTCAACCGCCCCTGGACCAGGCACCGTCGAGTGATGCCCCCCGCCCTGGCAGAAGCCCACCACGAAGCAAGAGAAGAACCCGGACACCAAGGGCGCAACGTGCACAGCGGGGCGGAGGTCCATCCGCTGCGCACTGCATGGGTCTGCCGCGTCGGCTCTCTCTCGCAAGACACACCTACCGTTGAATGACTCCGCCCCCCAGAGCCGACCCCTTGCCCCCAGACCTGGCTGGGCTACCTGGGCATCCGTGGGCCGACAAAAAAAAATGCCCTGTTCCAGGGGTGGCGCAGAAACTCCTGTCCGACTCGGAGGAGGAGGAGGAGGGGGAGGAGGAGGAGGAGGAGGAAGAGGAGGAGGAGGAGGAGGAGGAGCAGTCTGTGGACGCGCCAGTCGAGGTGGCCGGTCTCGACCCGGCGCCGCGGCCCCAGGAGCAGGGCGCGGGGCCGCGAGGATCATGGGCGCGCCCCAGTCTGGGAGGTCTCCCTCCTCCTCCTCCTCCTCCTCCCTCCCTCCTCTCCTCCCCTCCTCCTCCTCCTCCTCCTCCTCCTCCTCCTCCTCCCCTCCTCCTCCTCCTCCTCCTCCTCCTCCTCCTCCTCCTCCTCCTCCTCCTCCTCTCCTCCTCCTCCTCACTCCTCCTCTCCTCCTCCTCCTCCTCCTCCTCCTCCTCCACCTCCTCCTCCTCCTCCTCCTCCTCCTCCTCCTCCTCACCTCCTCCTCCCTCCTCCGCCTCCTCTCCTCCTCCGCCTCCTCCTCCTCCTCCTCCTCCTCCTCCTCCTCCTCCTCCTCCTCCTCTCCTCTCCCTCCTCCTCTCCTCCTCCTCCTCCTCCTCCTCCTCCTCCTCCTCCTCCTCTCCTCCTCCTCCTCCTCCTCCTCCTCCTCCTCCTCCTCCTCCTCCTCCTCCTCCTCCTCCCTCCTCCTCAGCCACCTACACCCAACGACGCAGCACGCCTCGGGCGAGGCACCGAAGCCCATGACCTGGCTATACAGTGAGCAGGGCCCGTAGAACACCCAGATAGACCCTCCCCTGGAAAGACATGCGCATCGTGACCGTTACAGCCTCAACCCAGTTGGACTCGATCGAAAACCACACACACACACACGCACGCACACACACACACACACACACACACACACACACACACACACGGACACGCACACGCACACGCACACGCACACGGCACAACACACGCACACGCACACGCAAACGCACACGCACACGCACACGCACACACACACGCACACGCACACGCACACGCACACGCACACGCACACGCACAACGCACACGCACACGCACACACCACACGCACATACACGCACACACACGCACACGCACACCACACACACACACACACACACACACACACACACACACACACACATACACACACACGTTACACACACACACACACACACACACACGACGCACATAGCTTTCACGATCGATCGTGCACATCACGCATGAAAACGTATCGTAGGCACACCTCGGAAAATAAGCTCCACGAACTTATACTGCATGACCCCGCCGCTTGGCGGTCATCATGTTGTTGTTGGGGGGTATGCACGCCCGGACGGCGGCCCCCGCCGACCTATCAGAAGACGAAGCGCAGAGGCCGACACGAGATACCCGCCAGGAGGAAGGGGGAGGCGGAGCAGGAAAAGGGGGAGGAGGAGGAGGAGGAGGAGGAGGAGGGGGAGGGGGAGCAGGGGAGGAGAGGATATCCCGTAGCGGGCCACAGGGACACCCAAACACTCGTTTGCGCAGGGTCCAAATGGTGGGCGGTTCCCCCTTGAAAAAGCGGTTGGGATCACTGTGCACCCGTACATCCCGGACACGTACACAACATAATAGCGTACCACACACACTCATGAGTACGCACAACATACACAAAGTACACACACGCATAGTGCGTATCCCTGTATGCGACTCCCCGTCCATGCGACGTTCCCTTCCATACGGTTCGCAAGCGGCCTGGATCCTCCGAGGTTGCACCACATGCCAACAGGGTGCAAGACCCCCACCCAAAGAGGCCCGGTGCAAGACCGGACCCCGGCGCAGCGGGCGGCCCGAAGGCGAAGGCGGCACAAGCAACCAAGCGAGAACACGGGCACGCACAGCTCGCAGCTTGACGAAATACAGGATTACGCTCGAAACCCGCCAGATCCCGGACAACGTACACAACAGAATAGCGTACAACACACACTCACGAAACACACGGTACCATACACAATGTACATAAACGCACAGTGCGTATCCCTTTACGCGACTCCCCGTCCATGCGACGTTCCCTCCCATACGGTTCGCAAGCGGCCCGGGTCCTCCGAGGTTGCATCACATGCCAACAGGGCGCAAGACCCCCACCCAAAGAGGCCCGGTGCAAGACCGGACCCCGGCGCAGCGGGCGGCCCGAAGGCGAAGGCGGCACAAGCAACCAAGCGAGAACACGGGCACGCACAGCTCGCAGCTTGGCGAAATACAGGATTACGCTCAAAGCCCGCCAGAGTTCCCCTACCCACCTTCCGAGAAATGCCAGAAGAACCAAACGTTTCCAAACTGCTCGGTAGCCACTGGCGTCCCTGGTCGCCTGGCCAAAACATGTAAGGTCGACACCTTAGGACCGGCAGCGCGCCGCACAGTAACCCGCGCTCCACCTACACCAGGGTGCGGTGGTCAGGCGCCCCCCAGCGCTAACGACTAGTGTGTGGCCAGGGGAGATGCCCGGAGACATCAACCGCCCCCGGCCCAGGGACTGTCGAAAGATGCCCTCCCGCCCTGGCAGGAGACACGAGCAAGAACAAAGGGAACGAACGACCCAGGGCACAATGCGCACAGCGGAGTCGGAGTCCATCCGCTGTGCACTGCAGGGGTTTGCCGTGCCGGCTCGCGCAGCATTTCTGGAAACCATGGACTAGTCTCCATCCTATGTAGCCGGCCCGTTGCCCCACGACCCGGCCGGGCGGCCTGGGCATCCATGGGTCTGCGGTCTGTGGACGCGCCGGTCGAGATGGCGAGTCTCGACCCGACGCCGCGGCCCAAGGAGCAGGGCGTGGGGCGGTGAGGATCAAAACCGCGCCCTACGCTGAAGAGTCTGAGCACGAACAACCAAACCAGTACCACACAGCCCAAAAGACCCTCCTTCGCAAAACAGCTATAGTTCATGGAGACTCGTGGCACGAAACACACGCACAAGCACAACACACATCACGCACAATAAAAGATGGGAAACACACCTCCGAACGCAAGCTCCTTGAACCAATACTGCATGACCCCGCCGCCCGGCGGTCATCATGGCCACGCGCCCGTGCTTCAGCTCGGAGCTGCTGAGCTTGTGGACGCCCTCGTAGTCGCTGACCTGGCAGAAACCGAGCGGGTCAAGTAGCCCAGGACGCCGTCACGCCGACCGACTGCCTTGGCGGGGTCGAAAGACGGCTCCACGGCCTCCTCCGCGGCGGCCGCGGTGGCCGCGGGCCCGCATGCCCATCATGCCAACTACTCAAAACTTCTATGGCAGGGGTACCGCTTGAGCCATGGGCTTGAGCCGACATCAGCTACATGCAGCAAATTTCTAACCCCCCCTCCTTCCCAATCCCTGA